AACTTTAAAAATTAAAGCATTTATTAGAAATGAAGAAGCAAGAACAAACCATCACATATTTTTAAATGAAAAAAAATGATCTTATTTTTGCATATTTTCTGAAAAAAATGAATTTATTTTCAAACCAATCACTCTTTTTTCCCCCCTCTTCTCTCATGTACTTTTCATTTATACCTTATGCTCTTTATAGCAACAACCGAAGAAAACCCTAACTTGCATAAATAGCATGTTGCAAATGGAACTTTTATGGGCATAGCTCTCTCACTTTAGTCTCTCCTCATTTATTTGTTGTTCTCATTTTGTGCACTGATCCCAAGAAAAGACATTTTTGGGAAATGAAAGTTTCATCCATTTCGACTGCATTAAAATCCACAAAACACAGTTCTTTGATCAAAGCAAACCAACAATTTTTAATATAATGATGGATTTTATCAGGCATTTCAAAAGGTGTTGTATTAGTTGAAGAATATAATATTGTTCATAGAACTCTTCTATCCTTGTTAAGAGAAGGAACAAAGTGGAACAACCAATCCATAAGCATAATAGAATTTACAGATCTGAGCTCAACTAATATGCCTAGAGTGACTTTGAACGGTGATTGAGACCCCTCTCAAAGTTATTTGCAATTGCCAGTGGTTATGTGAGTTCAAGGACTCTTATGCTAAGCCAAAACAAAGCAAACTATGTTGTGGTTTAGTGCAATGCATAAAACCCCCATCTAATATGCATGAAAATAGTGAGAGGTGTTTTACTTCTCAGGATGATGAAGCGCAAAGTAGAAGAATTGAAATAGACATATAGTATTATTTCAAGTTATTCACATATCCAAAGCTCTACAGTTTTCTGGCTCTTTTTCTTAAAAATCTGAGATTGTTTTAGCTATTACCTCTTGGTAACTGAGACTAATATTGTGCTGAAAGCTCAAAGTAAATAGGAATAGTGTCACATGATGTCTTATCTTGGCTGATAATGTGAAACTAAAGCATATGCATGCATAGAATCCTCCAAGCATTTATGATCTTTAATCATATTATTTCCTGGCACATGAAGGAATGCTTTTATTTAGCCTCTATTGCCTGGAGATGCCTAGAGTGATTCTTGGTAGGTGCAGTAGAAAAGTATTATGGAATGGATAATTTGCCTATGTGGCTTCAATAGTATCTGTGCTTAATATATAGTATTCTGCCCATATGCCTTACTGTAAAAGAAAAATTTTAAAATCTTTTCTTAAACATTACCCTATGAATCATCAGTAACATTAGTCTTTTTATTAAGAATTAAAGTCATTTTTAGCTCACAAATTTCTTTAAAGTAACTTTTAATATACTGAGACCTCAAGGAAAATAATAATTGGATGTGTTGTTTGTAGGAGATTTAGTAAAAGGTGAAGGAGATTATAAACCAAGCAAAATAAGATTTATAAAGCAAAATAAAATTCACCGTGTACACGATTAATTTATTGCTCCTTGCTACTTTGTGTAGGGGTGAGTATGAGCATAGCTAGTAAGTGCAGACAAGTAGCTTTGAACATTTCCTGTATAGTTGAATGGATGGCTGGATGTTTATATAAGGCAGATGCAAGAAGAATGGAGTTCTCATTAATTGCACTTTCTTAATTGAATTCTATACTGTAGTTGGTCCTTCAAAACCAGGGGTGTCAAATTCAAGGTCTGCGGGCCAAATCTGGCCCGTGGGCTGCTTAGATCTAGCCCATGGGGCCATCCTGGAAATAGCAAAGGACTGGTCCACAGTCAGTGGGCCAGTCATTTTTGCTAGCAAAAATGGGACATGAGGAGCCACCTGCAGCCCCCGCATGGCCAATTTTTGGCATGGGTGGCCTCCTGCAGTACCCTGCTGGCCAAAATGGGATGGGGGGTGGGTGACCCTGCTGTGACTCATTTTTGGGCCCACATCCTGTCTGCTTCCCACCTGGCCGGCCCATGGAGGTCAACTACGATGCTGATCTGGCCCTTCCAAGAAATCCAGTTTGACACCCCTGTTCTAAATGATCTGATCACTTGTCCCTCTTATTATTTACAATGAAGGACTTAGATATAAAATAAGATACTTGTTTTTTTTTTTTTTTTTCGTTTCTTCCTTAATGCACTAAATCCATCAATATCTTTATGGCCTTTGTGAGCATCATATCTCCTTGGGATATGAGATTTAGATAGAGCGTGAAGACCATAGGGCTCATCTGGGATTCGGATTACTTTTAATCCTTAAGGTGATTTTTGGAATTTGTAGAGTAGGGTTTGTTTATTTTTTACATTTTTGAGAGTGTGAATTGATGGATCATTTCCAGTAAAACCTCCTTAGTCTGTTCCAAAAATATTAATTATTACAAGAGTGACCTTGGCACCCAAGAGTCGACATGATGAGGAGCTTAGTCAGAGCTGAAGTGAGACTCAGAAGATAAATGAATCATATCAAGTATGACCATTTCAGGCCTGAAAATGATTTTTAATTAACCACTGATCCTCAGTGGTAGCAAGTTCATAAAAGCTGTACACAAGGGAACCATATAAAATGTATAAGCAGCAATTTACAAAATCTAATAAGTCTTTCTGAAACTGCTGCTTTCATTCATCCCCCGCAGCCTCTTCTTATATATTTAGCTGTTCAATATGATTTCTCAATATATTAAAATCACACAAACTCTACTACTTTATCACTTGTGTGTCATATAACTTCTTCCTTTTTTTTTTCCTTTTTAAATCAGAGAGAAAATCAATCAAGAAGTGTAAAAACTACGAGTCTTGTAGCATAAGCTTTTCTGGGCCAGACCCTACTCCATCAGACACATGAAGCAGTCACCTAATGGGTAGGTATATATATATCCTAGTACAGAGAGAAGGAAATTGATATCTATAGAGAGAAGAGTAGGGGGAGAGGCCCAGTGGTCAAGCAATGAAAGAGGGGGTGGGTGGTGTAATCACAATGCCATGCAGAGCGCAACTGATTACTCAATTCAATCCAATTTTACACAAACTTCTGAAGAAAAGGCATTTTTTTTAAAAAAAAAAAAAAACTGGAGTCTTACATAAAGACCTATTTTTCTGTGAGGTTGCAACGGGCAACTTATTTCCAGTCAACGGAATCCATTTATATTTTGCTTATGTGTTTTTCAACAGAAAAGAAGAATCTGTAAAAAAAAATTACTGTATAACATTGGGCACTCACCTCTCAACCAATCTATTAACATTAGATTTTAAAGCTGAGTGCCGTAAAAATGCTGCAAAAGTTTTCCCACAAACTCTTGGAAGAACTAATAAAATGACTGCCGTATTTAATAGTTTTAGTAAGGATTTTAGTACCTACTCCCAAGTGCCTTCCCTCTTTTCAAGATAGATTGATGGCATCTTCACCTGCATTGCCTCAGTAAATATGTCCTTAAAGCAACTCCACTCTCCACAGCAGAAAAGCAGAAAAAAGCATGATGTATTAACATCATCTTAAAGTGATATGCCTCTACCATAGTGTACTGAAAAGTCTGCAGCCAGAACCTACAGTATAACTGTCTTTTCTCCATTCTTTTGGTCATAAACATCTTTCTCCAGGAATTGCATCAGAAATTCTTAAAACTCAATTTTAATTTGAGAAGGTAAAGGTAAAAATAGATGGACAAGATCTGGCCAAGTGCCCAAGGTATATCTTCTATAGGACCATCCATACAGGATAATAGCATATTGCTTGCTAGCCCTTCGTTGATGCTATTTTGTGCATCCTGGAAGATGGTCATTGATCCTTATAACTTTAAATGAATGCTCGTCCTTCCTTAGAATCTGTACCCAAGTCTAAAACAGGGTACAATACTAATGGGCTACCTAATGTAAGTTAAATTGTGATGCCACTTCTGTTCCATCCTACCTCAATAAACAATATCAGCCATAAAATTGAGAATTCATTCATCTGTCCATTATGCTGATCTATGATAAACAAAGCAAAGGTTTTCCTAATTCAGGAAGATAAATAAAATTGGAAGCTGCTTAATTTGGTATTCCTGATGAAACTATTGCCCTCTTACATTATTTTATAGTGTTCGTGTGCTATACCTATTCATAATCTACTAGGGATCCCACTAGTCACAAATGAGTCATACTCATTCTGATTTGTGTTCTGCATAATATTGTGGTGCATCTACTTTCTTGTGCAGTGCTTGACCTTCTGGCTTTGCTCTGGACACCTCCTTCTCTTTGTACCTAGGGTATATGTATACACATTTACCTACCGAGGTGACTATGTATTTGGTTTATGAAAACTTATGTCACAAAAAATGATAGATACTAAGGTGCCAGTTAACTTTTTGACTATTAATCATATCAGGATGAGGAACTGCAATCCTTATTTAGGAAAGCTAACCAAATTTGTCACATGATTATAGAAATGGCTAATATAGTGTCTAGTTTCATTCATTTAATTTAATTCCAAATGATAGTATCTAGGAAACTGATTGTTTCACTGGATGAAGTGCTGGCTTTTAATCTGTTCTCATAAAAGATCCAAATCTGGTGTTCAATCCTTCAATGTTCCTGAAGACATAGAGTTGGACTAAGTAAGTTACCCGAGATCAATATCAGCTACTTGACATCAGTACAAAGTTAATTGAGTACCATTGATTTATCTCTTCTAAAGGGTCTGTATTCAAAAAAGATTTGTGATTATATTACTTATCCTCTAGGTTGGATGAAATTCTTAAGTTTTAATTTTGGCTATGACACTAGTTAAGGACTAACAATTTGGAAAATATAAGGCTAGGGTAGACAAAAGTAGTCTATGGCATGCACTATTGGGGGAAAATATCTACTTATACTGCAAACTCAATCTTTCTTTTCATAGGTTTTTAGATTAAATGGTTCTATTTCCTGTTTTATCATGGGTTGTTTATCCCTTTTTTAATGCCACCTATCTCTCCTACAAAGGGACTTTGGGCAGCTTACAGGTTATTTTTTATACTCTTTAGGCTAAAGTGATCATTTACATTCTGTACTTTTTAACAGGCATGAATCGGCATCCTTCAGGTCCTGATATTTCCACCTTTTATCCCTTATCTCCTGGCAGTGTTGGGCAGATAACCCCACCACTTGGCTGGTAAGAGCTTCCTGTTACTTCTGAGTCACACTCATGTATTTTGTGTTATGTACATCCAGTGCAAGTTTATTGACTTGAGACATGACTCGTTTTAAAGCAATTGTAAGGTTTCCATTTATTAAATAACCGAGCACAATTATTTATAAAAAGTATGGAAATATAGTTGGCTTTGCAGAGCAACCTACTGATAGTAGATTGGACTCTAAAAACAAGGTGTTGTTCTTAAATGAAATCCACTGCACAATTCACAGACTCTATGGCTTGAATAGTTTGGAGCCTGATAATATGTCTTAGTATTTGGACTTGTAAAATACACAAGTGCCACTGAATACATGCAGAGTGTGCCCCATTACCACTACAATAGCCATGATGCATATGTTCATTTTGCGTTAATTTATCTTCAATGTAACAAATGATTCAAATTTGTAAAATTCTTCAAGTCAAACTCTCCTTTATGAAGGAGGAATGCCGAATTTGATTCAATGTATTAAATGTGTTCTTTGTTTAGACTAAGCTGAAAAAATAGCAATTGAGTTGAGTTTGACTACTTGGAAGAAATTTTATGAAAGGTGCAGTATTGCTTAGCAAGAGTGTATCTGAAATAAACAAATAGGAAAAAAAGATTGTAGTGATTTATTTTTTTGTAATTTTTAGATAATAATAATGGTGCTAATGAGTTATCTCTATACCTCTTTTGAGAATTTATTTTGGGAGTGATTCTTGTCATTTTGGCAAAGCTGAAATTAGACAGCAAAACTCCATTTGCTACATAATGTATTATTTCATGTCAAAAATACTAAAATATTTGAATAAACTTTTTTAATTGGAAGAAAATTAAGAGAGCCAAGAGTTTGATGGCCAAGCTTTTTTATATTATTGTGTCTGTTTTTACACTAGGGAAGGCTTTTTTGGAGTATGAGAATAGATTTAGTTCCAACTTTTAAATTTTAACAATTATTTGCTTCTTTGTACGTACATTTGTTCAAATAGAATTAAAAATATTGATAATGTGAATAGTGTACAGCACATAATGCTCTTACGTTTCTGCTTATTGCTGTACTGTATGGTTGATATTTGAATTGTGTGTGCATAATTGTATACATGTGCAATGGTCTAACGTTCCGTGCGTGCACAGAAGTTGATTTAAGTGTGAAGAGTGCCATGGTGAGAATAAGAAAGAGCCAGCAGTTTTGAAATGCCAGTTTTTTAAATCTGTCAATCAATAGCTCTGCTTGAATAGAATTGAGTGTACTCTTTCAAAGAAAATTCAATTATTCTCTCTGAAGTTGATACACAAGTGTGTTAACTTCTATTCAGAAATTGCATTAATTCATGATGGGGGAAAACAATGTAAAATAAACATAAAAGATTCAAAATATTTGAAACATTCAAATTGAACTATTCGTGTATCTATTCAGAAGAACAGAAGTTCATATTAGAAGTTTCTTTGTATTTCAAGTTTTTGTTTTGCATTCAAACTGTATGAACTTGGGCTGTGTACACACATTGGATCTGATTTCAAGAAGATGCTTCAGGCAGTTTGTTGTATGCAAACAACACTCTCCAATGCTTCACAACGTGGGGAAAAAACACAGTTGCTTAAAATATAACATACAGTTAATGCTTGTGTTAGAGTCCAAGAATCCTAGGATTTTTGAGAATGTCCCTTTACCAGAAATAGGTAAAGCTATTGGTTCCCTCTGCCTGATCTCTCCAGTTTGGCTCCTCCTCTTTCTGCCATGGGAGTGGCTAAACAATACAGGAAGGTATTTTCATGTTTTATGAAAACTGGGATTCCCCGTTTGTTACTATTTTAATAATCATAATATAGCAAGAATAAATGCTAGTTTATTTGTTCTTATGAAGTGAAGAATAAGCTACTTGGGTTATTAGTTGGTTATCTCTTTATGGGTGTTTGGAAAAAGGCAGATTCACTTCTGTTGCATTATAATTGATGGGTTGCTTTCTTCTGTGACCTCAGGCAAGGTCAGCCTGTATATCCCATCTCAGGTGGATTCAGGCATCCCTACCCATCCTCACTTTCAGTCGACACTTCCATGTCAAGGTAGGTGTAGGTGGGAATGACTGGCTCAGGAGTGAATGCTGTACTTGGAAGGGAATTGGCTATACTGCTTTGTCCTGGTGACTGCCTTTGCTTGCTCTGTCTGCCCCATTAGCTAAACTGCATTTAAGTCTCTGTGTACAATATTGTATATACAATACTGTGCATATACAGCTTGCTATTATCATTGGCTGATTAAAAGACATCAAATCTGTGATACAGCAATCTTACTGAAACCAAAGAGAGTATTAGTTTTGTCAGCACAAGTGCAATGAAATCATTGTATATAATGACTGAAAATAAAACCGTTACTTTTTACAATTTGCTTTGTATTCTCTCTCCTTTCTCTGCAGTATTCTATTTAACTATAGAATGCAAGATGGGAAACCCTATCCCAGGCTCCAAACTATTTTATAATTAGGCAGAAGAAGCTGTGTAGACACGGTTGTATTGCTGTACAATAAAGAACTTTAGTGCAAGCAGGCAGCACTAACTAGGTGTTGGTGGCGGCATCATTTTGTATCATTCTTATCTTTCTGTGGTATGAAAATATGGGATCTATATGCTGTGCTTGGTGTATCCAAAGGTTGCTGTAATTTTCTATGTATCTTATATCAGTAAAATGCAACATACAAATAAAAACAAATTAACACATTTGCTTGCTGGGTGTGTGGGATACATGTACTGTTTGCAATTAAATCACACTTTTTATTTCCTCCCATTTACGATTGTGCCAGGCTCAATAAATCTTTTTCTAATATGATATTATCATCTTATACTTTTTTCTGTCAAAATGTTTATATGAATTAATGCAACATGTGAGGTTGTTTTACATATGAAGTATAAAAGGACTACATGAGACTAAATAATAAATATCAGACTAATACAAGGACACTGTTGTCATGTTTAACAGTTAATACAGTTCAGTGTAATTTGGCCTTAACAGATTTAGCTAAATCAGGGCTCCCCTATGTTGTATTCTCCTGATATACTATATTTCAACACTAGTTGGTACTAATATGCCCATCTTAATATTCTCATCTGGGCTAGAGTGGTTCTCAACCTTTTCTTTAACACGGACTCCTTTAAATACCTTTTGTGGCCATGGATCATGGCCATGCAGCCCCAAGACTTAATTCAATATTTAAACTATAACATTTCTTCAAGTCTTTGTGAAATCCCTGTGATGACATCATGCCCCTCCCCCCCCAGTTGATCAGACAATATTATGCACAAAAAGCAAGAACTAGTAAAGAAAGTAAAGGCATAATATAAGAAGAAAAGCAGTTCAAACTAGTTTGCATCAGCATTATTCACTGTACTGCTCCATGCCTTTCTATCTTCTTTTCTTTACATTTACAAAATCATATTTTCTTTACATTTCTCATCATTCTCTTTCTAAGAATCTCATCAAGTACTTTCTTTCATGCTGTCGATCCCCTTTTTATCCCTCCTTTATTTATTCTTTACAGCATCTTTTCTAGCTTTGTCCCAAGGTTAATAATCTTATTCTGTGCAGATTAGGATCTCTGAACAGACACTATTTGGCAAACCAACATACTCTTGCCCCATTCTGGCAATTACTTTAGTAGTGTATTGACATGCAAAGGATGCAATCCTTGTCAATATTAAAGTTGAAGTCTGGCACATCTGGACCAATGGGAGAAACTAATCTTGGCCAAATAAAGAGAATAATTGGTTGCCCATCACTGCCACCGCCACCTTCATTATGATGATCTTAAAACATTGGGGCATTCTTGATTTTATCTATTCACTTTATACACATTCCCCAGATATTTATAACATTAGCAGAATGGTCTGCTGTTAAACTGGTAATAATTTGAATGACTTCACTGTTATGAAGTACAGAAAATTCTGCTGGAATCGTGAAAAGTTATTTAATATTTACTGGAATACTTTTTTTTTATTAATAAAGAAGTGAAGAGATAGCGTGAGGTAGGATGTATGCTGGAAATCCTTTTCAGTGTAATGTGTAAAACTGCCCCAAATAGTCCTTGTGGTATGCAGTAGCTATTTTGAGGCACACCCCAGTGTGTAACTCTTTAAATGTCTGAGAAGAGAGAAAACCTGCATTTCAGTACATAGAACATTGCAATTCCAAGTTCCTAGTATTATATTTTCTTCTAATTACTTTGATTGGATGTAACCATGCAAATCTGCACAGGAGTGCATGTAAGAATTAATGGAGTGGTAGATCTCAGTTCAACATTTCCATACACGTGTGTCGGAAACAATAACATTCTACTTTATTGTATATACATGAATTATGAACTTCGGCAGAGTGGCAATTGGGATCTTTTAGAGCTTACATAATTGTTTGATGAGAGCCACACATACACCATACTGGGAAACTAGGAACATCTCCCTCTAAAATCTTCCGGTTCGTTTTCAAGCATTACAACATCCGCAATTTCATATTTGAACAGGCCGTGTTTATCCAATATTTTTATTTATTTCTTCCTCCCAATTTTGATTTAAAGTATCTCAACTTTCTTCAAAACTCCTTAAAACTGTTCATCAAGATTTCATACATTCTCTTGTGATGGGCAATTGGCCAACTTTATAGTCTTAAGTGCCCTGTTTCACAACTACCTGCATTGTAGGAATTAACAATTCCCCCTCGCATGGACTTATTTGCTTGGTGAGAGTTACACAGTAGACCTATGTAAACATCACCAGTCATTTATTAGACAGGCTCGTCACACTATTTGTTCTTGAGCAAGCTTTATGGATCGCAGACTCTGAAGCTCCTCACCTTCCTCCAAGCCTCCTCCGTGATGGTAGTTATGTTCGATGGAGCCTTTATCTCTTTGAGAGATCAGCTGGATTCTCCATGGTTTGACATTTAGCTAATATTTGCATTGGATAAAATGTCTATAAAGGGTTTAAACTAAAGGTTTTAAGAAGCTTGCCCTGCTCAATTCCACCAAGGATAAGAAATAAGATAGGAGTAAACCTTCTCTTGTCAGGCTGAGTTCCAATTGCAATAACTCAAGTTTCTTTTCAGTGTGGATATCTTAAATTCTATTATTACCCATTCTTGCTATTGAAAATTTTTCCAGTTTATACTCTGAAGTGTTCCATAAAAGCTCTACTACATACTGGAGCCTTTCCTTCTCTATGCATTATTACATCTGCGCTCATCTGGATAGGCATCTTATAAAAAGAGCCTTGTTTCATAAAGAATTAACTGTAAATACAGTTCTTTGAATGGCATCTATACATTCTCATAGCTTGTCCTGCTATTTGGTCTCGGGAACTTTTAGTACTGGATTTGTTGTGGTGGCTTTTTATTTATTTATATCCCACCTTTATTATTTGTATAAATAGCAAATCTAATATTCCTTCCTCCTCCTATTTTCTCCACAACAACAACCCAATGAGGAGGGGTTGATTTCTAGGCCAATACATTAACCACTACAAAAAACTTGGCTTGGTAGGAATCATGCCAATGTTTGTGTACACAGGAGTAGCATCCTCGCCAAACAAGTCAGTAAGCACAAGTGAATAATTCTTGTGTGAGCATTCACATATGACACCTCAAAAAACTATCATTACAGGTACATAACATAGCAAGTTATTTTGGAAAATGAGGCTTTGCTGTCCCAGTAATAATGAGATAATTTTTTCTTCTTTTCAGAAGCTTCCCCACCTCTTCATGGCACTCAGAAATGTGTGCATTCTCTATCTTTAACACAGACAGGCTGTGTCCCTGCACACATTTATAATATATACCATGTATACTAATAATAGATAACATACCAAAAGGCCAAAGTGCACATGTGTAGTCTCTTAAAAGATCAGTTATAGAAGCAGCCACCTGGGAAAGGGACAATGTTCAATATTGAAGGACAATAGTATCAGGAGGATGAGTGATGAGTGTATCATGTGCCTTAGGAGTGAGTCACATATCATAGAGACAAGATAAATATGATTGAACAGATTGATCCTGGGATTTAGATTATTGGAAAGTTATAGCTTCCTAAGGAAATGCAATTTTTTCCCCAATCTTATTTTCTTCCTGCATGATCATTCCTCCTTTTTTTTAGCTGGTGGTGGGTAACCTTAATATCATATGTATGTGAGAAAATATTTTGATGGGTCTAAGATGAAATTAGCATTGTGTGTCCTACTGTATATGTTTTTAGAATTGTTGGAGTTATTGAATTTCTTTGTGTATAATACAAGATATCTACTGCAGCATTTCTCCAGGATTAAAGGACAAAAATAATCCTGTTTATTCTGTCCATATCTTAGTTGTCAAATATAGGCATCCTAATATTTTTGCTGCTAACCCAATATGAAATATTTCTTCCAAGGCTTCCTTATGATTCATATAATTGTTCAATGCAATGCTAAAATTGCCATTATGAAAAAGACATGCCCTTTTTCATCCTTTGTAGGTTTTCCCATCATATGATCCCAGGTCCTCCAGGACCCCACACAACTGGAATCCCTCACCCTGCAATTGTAACACCTCAAGTCAAACAAGAACATCCACACACAGACAGTGACTTAATGCACGTGTGAGTTGGACTTTTCCAAGTCTTTCAACAATCCTTAATCTGCGTTGCTCAGGAACCAAGTGGACATGTCAATAGTTGTGATGAAGAGCTTTCCCCTCCCCTGCTTATCCTTAAAATAAAATGTTGGATATGTGCCTAAGTTATGAATATAGCCTTGTATTTTCTGGGTATTTTACATACCCAGAATATATGGCCCTTTGGCTATCCTTATCTATCCCATGTGAGGTCAATCAAAAATTAGAAATCAAATGTAAATAAGTGTACTCTGTGCACACAATAAAAATTGCATTGCTGTTCTTTTGAAAGTGGCTGCTACATTTTTTTCAGTTTACATATATGCATGTGTGAGGCACCTTCCCAGTCCTATTGATTTGGCCCTTCACAACATCCCAACTTTTCATGTGCCCCCTTGGGAAAATTAATTGCCCACTCCTGACCTTGAATATTGAAGGTGTTTACACTGAGATAACTCATTTAGTATCAAGTTAAATGAAAGTCTTTCTGATATTCTGATTTTAATATGATCCAAACCTAGGTGTGCATTGTGAAATGGATTATGGATTATCAAAATTTATCTATCTCACATTAGCATGGAGAAATAAAAAATATTTGCATAACTGCAAATGTGTTTCCTTTGGATGGAGGCAATACTTGTAGAATCTCTTTCTGATTTTCTATTCTCAATTTTAAGTGTTCTTATGATTTACCTAACAAAGGACTATAGTTTAAAGATATCATATTTCAAGGAAAAATAGGTATTAAAAAAGCACAATTAAATACAAATTAAATATATAATTTTTAAGAAATTAAATGTTGTAGATTAACACAGATGTGGGACGTATTCATAACACTGCCAAATAAGACCAAAATTAGATTGCTTTTGACTTGGTCATAGATAGAGATAAAACTCTTTTAAGGGACAGTAATCCCCAGAGTTAGCCTCATATGTATTTTGGGGACTTGAATTTTGTTTTTTCTGCCTCTCTATTTTATGACAAGGATATATGGATATTATTTTTCTAAAGGGGGTAGCTTATTACTGTTCCTTCTTCAGATATTTAATAAACACATTTTATAACATTTAAATAGGTTGGATGGAAGCAGTCTCATTTATATTTAAAGTATTGGGTCTTGTTCTAATTCTCATATTACAGGAGATTCTACTTCCCAACACCTCTGTTTGTTGATTCTTGCATTGCTAATTATTAGATTATTCACAAGTTACTCTTAAACAGCCCTGTACTGCTATAAGTGGGCATACCATAATAGCTATAGAAATTCTAGTACATCTAGAAATATTTGTGTGTGCCACGGTTAAGGAGCGCTAAGACTTCTTAACAAATAACAGAGGGAAATACTTCTAGATAAGAAGGAGAGGTTATTTTTTGTGTGTGCTGTCTTCTTTCTTTTTCTTTATGCCTGAAACACTGAACTAAGCTAGGAAATGTTGGCCTTTAGAAATAAGGAGATATCTGTGGATCACCTGAAATGCAGTAGAAAATATCCCTTCAAAATGAGCATGGTATCGATTGTATTCTTCTTTCCATATGTTCTCTTTCCTCCTGTTCCCTTTAGGAAGCCTCAGCATGAACAGAGGAAAGAACAAGAGCCCAAAAGACCTCACATTAAAAAACCCCTGAATGCTTTCATGTTATACATGAAAGAGATGAGAGCGAATGTCGTAGCAGAATGTACTTTGAAAGAAAGCGCGGCCATCAACCAGATTCTCGGCAGAAGGGTATGAAAAAAACATGTTTTTGCGTATATACATATTGTGTGTTCAGTCTCTTTAACTCAGAGAATTCCCAAAGCAAAGCTGGCTGGGGAATTCTGGGAGTTGAAGTCCGCCAGGCTTAAAGTGGCCAAGGTTGGAGACCCCTGGTCTATAGTCTTTAACCCACCCACTGTGTTCCATTAGCCTCCGCTTGGCCTTCTCTAGAGTTGTTGGGTTGAGATTCAGTTCCAATTATCCTGATTATTGCATTACACCTCATCGAGCAGATGTCTCCGTTATTTATTCACAAATTGACTACGGCTAGTCCATCACTTACAACCACAATTAAGCCCAACATTTCCATTGCTAAGCGAGGCAGTTGTTAAGTGAGTTGGGCCTCATTTTACAAAGTTTTTTTTGCCATTCTTGCTAAGGGAATCCCTGCAGCTGTTAAGTGAATCATGCAGTCATTAAGCAATGGTTTCCTCCATTGACTTTGCTTGTTGGAAGACAGGAGTGAAGGTTACAAATGGTGATCACCTGACCCAGTGTGCTGCCCCATTCTCTCTGTCTCTCTCTCACACACACACACGTGCGCGCGCGCACACACACACACACACACACACAGAGTGAATGAGAAGTCTTTATTCAAACCCCCAGTAGTTCTCAGGTAGCCAACACAAAGAGAAGGTCATCAGTCATCAAGTCCGGCAGGACTTGGGAAACACAGGAGTTCCTGGCCAGAAGCAGTCCACTAAAGATGATACACAGTCCAGAGAGCCAGTCAAAGTTTCAAACACACAAGAAGCAGGAATATGGGTCAAGGGAACCAGGCACGTTGTTCCAGCAAAGCCCATCTCTTTGCATGGGATTAAATAGGTAACGCTGTCCATCACAGTGAGCGAGGCTGCCTCCTCATGAGTAATCTGGCCAATCTGGCATGTTGCCTCTCCGCCCTGGAAATCCTTGGATGTGGAGGTGGTGTGGACTCCACCCCTCATACTTGCTGACTGCAGGCAGCTGCTCCTGTTCTTCTCCTGAAGCCTCCAAGCTAACCTGCTGTAGCTGAGGGTCTCTCTGCCTATTGCCCAACTCGTCGTTCCTCCTGTGGTTACTCTATCGAGCTGGAGCTCTCCACTCTATGATCTGTGTCTTGATGTCCCCTTGCGCTCACTTCCCCAGATGTGCCAAGGCCCAGCTCTTCCCCCTGCTCCTCCTCTGAATTTGCATCCAGAGAGGAGGCCAGAGGTGCATTCGTGCCAGCCAGGGACAATGCAACGCTCATAAATATAGATATAAGACAGGGGTCTTCAAACTTGACAGCTTTAAGACTTGTTGACTTCAACTCCCAGAATTCCTCCTCCGGTCACGTTAGCTCAGAAATTCTGGGAGTTAAAATCCACAAGTCTTAAACTTGCCAAGTTTGAAAACTCTTGATATAAGATAAGATAGGATAGGATAATAAGATAGATAAGAGGTAAGGCAAAGATAAGGCAAGGCAAGACAACTGTTATTATCATATTTTTCTGTGAACACATTGGTACACATTAAAAATGAGATAGATTCCAGTTGCCAAGTGCCCAATTTGTTCACATGACCATGGGAGTGCTGTAAAAGTGTCATAGGTCACTTTTTTTCAGGGCTTTTATAACTTTGGTCATTAAATGAATGGTTGTAAGTTGAGGACTTCAGATAACTTAAACTCCAAAATTCATTGTCATCAATAATGATTCTTTTCCCCTGGGCTGCCACATGTATTTAATTTCTCTCAGTCCCTGTACTCTTTGTTCTTGTTTCTACAACCAGGAGTCATCTGGGAAAAGGAACTCTTGCCAGATTTCTTTGCTTGCAAGAGCTTGATGGTTTCATGAAATAAGTCAATAGCAAACAGCACCTCAGTGCCTCTGTGGTGTAAAGTTGTTGGAACAGATAAGCTAGATTTGTGTTCTATAACAAATTAAATAGCTTATTTTCAAAAGAGGCCTGAAAACCTGTATTTCACAATGAGATTAGGCTGCCTTTTCCTGTGGGAAGTGATGTATAGATACAGTAGGCAATTCTCAACCCCCACACCACATACTTAATATTCTGCTTTACTCAACTTTTGCAGGGAGAGAAAATAATCAATTTCAATCATATTAAAATATTATTACATTTTTATAAAAAATATATATGTACCAAAAGTAGCAGAAATTTTTTTAAGTTGTGACTCTTATGCTTTTTACTTCCTTCATATCTTTTAACTTGATCTGTGCTTGCCAAGCACATAAACCCTTTGCTTATAAAACTAATCTTGGCATTAGAGTAATTAGGAGCCTCTATGCTATGAATACTATAATGTTTATTGCTTGGTCCCATCAAAGCAGGTGTTATGCGTTTGAATATTATATTACCTAAACATGTCATATGATTAGAAATTCTTACTTATTTCCCCAAACACTGAAGTAACTTCAGCTCTTGTCTATATTTTGATAATTTTCTTCATTACTTAGGATACCTTTTTGTCTCCCAGGATAATTCCTACATCCTCTATAGCAGGGGTGTCAAACTCATGGCCGGTGGGCCAGAAGGGTCACGCGCTGGCCACACCAATCCCCAATTTAGCAAAGGGGGGGAAAGTCACGATACGTCACATGACGACAACATGATACCGCATGTTTGATACCCCTGCTCTATAGTATAGTATAGTATAGTGTAGTGTAGTGTAGTGTAGTGTAGTGTAGTGTAGTGTAGTGTAGTATAGTATAGTATAGTATAGTATAGTATAGTATAGTATAGTATAGTATAGTATAGTATAGT